TTTGACTATATTTATATGATGATACTTTGAAAAAAACTATAATTTAAAAATTTATAGTAAATAACCTATAATATATGGATAATAATAGCCTACAATGTGGAGAAACTTAAAATATTATAATATTAAATTTGATAATTCAATTTAAGTGATTCTTAATTTTTGTTAAAGAGCTGGTTTTTCAGCTTGATATAATCAGAAATTGTTAAGGCATGATTTGCATTATATTCCGTTCACTGTAAACATTGTATCAACTCTACTGGATTGGCATTTTCTAGAAACTCGCAGGTGATTTTGAGTCATTCAATCATGTCTTCTACTGTCCCAGCAACGTCTTCACATTTCAATTTCCGGTCAGCGCTCGAGTCTCTTCGACCGTTAACCGATTCCTTCGATCCGGACCTGGATCTCGACTGTGACTATTCTTTGATGAAGAAGACGCAGGAAGCTTGATACGATGGCTGAGGACGCAATCGCGAAGACCGGTTCAACGGAAGAGGTTAGCGACAATGATGGAGGTAACAAGAGCGAAAAAAAGACGGTAAAAGATCCAGAGTTCTTGAGTTGCATGCTGCAGCCTGCGCCTGCGGATTCCGACCCCGAGTACATCGGCATGCGACGATTCCTTCTTTATCGCAAGGCCGAAAACAATGCTCTTGATCGCCGATGCGTAAGCTCTCTCTGATTTCCATTTTGAGCTTAATCAGTTCCTGTATGTGATTGTGTTCTCGATGTGTTCGCGCTTTCGTTTCATAGCTGCAAAGGCGAATTGTAGAGATGTGGATCTGTGTTTGGATGGAAAATTTTGGATATGTATAAGGAAATTTATGGCTCGAAAACGCTGAACTTGTTCATATGTAGTGGTGAAATTGTGTGGCACTAGTAAGAATACGTGGTGTGTTGTATTGCACGATGGCTTATAAGTAGTAATCTCAACCTCCTGCGTGAGTGAACTTGAATATCGTTGAATTATAATGAGATTATAGTAGGATTGGAGTTGATTCCTTTGTATCCTGAAGAGCTGTAATTTGTCTTTGGCTTAGATCTCTATCAGGGAAAGGAAAGGAAAATGCCTATTCTCCCATGTTGGCTTCAGGTGTGAGTTTTAGGTGTTGGGACATTCAGGAGTGTGATGATTGCAAGTATTAATGACTGGCAGAGCAAAGTTAGATGTTGACTTCCAAGTGAAAAAGAATAGTTCTTCCCCAAAATTCTTGTATTCATGATCTGAACGTTGCTTTTCAGCACTAAAGATGAAGAAAGTGGAAGCATGAATGAGATTGAACATGGCAAAGGGAAGAGAATAAGTTGCCACTCAATGCTATATAGTGCACACAACTTAGGTCATAAGTGTTCAAGCTCAGAGCTTTTTCAGCGTTGCAATATGCCTTTTGGAACACCCTCCTCTCTAATTTTACAGTTCTTTTAAATATTATTGTTTCTGGTTTGATTGAACCTGTTTGTTATTTTTCAATAAAATGATAAACTGTGTATGTCTTGCAATTAGCCAACAAAAACACCACTCTTTTGGGTACTAGATTTACTGCGTTAGTTTGGTTGTCAAATTATTAATTGTAGTGTTTCTTTCCAAGTTTAATCATTGGCTTACCACACTTGTTTGGGTTGAAGGATTGGAGATGCAACGGGAAAGGTTACGTGGCTTACCGTAATTACATTCGCAGACCAAGGAATTGGGAGACTTTACAAACACTAAGCCACCCAAGCACTCCTGGAAACAGGTTTCTGAAATTTTACCAGTGGATTATCATAGTTATTGCATGACAGGATGAAGGAAAACTCGCTGTTTTTGCTTATTTTTGCTTTCTAAATCACAAGAACAATATCAGATTGACCAAAAGTGTATAAATAGTGAAATATTTTCATTTCCAAACCAAAGAACATTGAGATGGAGGGAGAACAATGGCAAAAAAATGTCTGTCTGAATTCGAGTCATTATACTGCTCATAATGATTTCTTTTTAATTATTAAGTTACCATGAAATCAAGTTGTGTGCTGTTGTCTGAATAATTTTTTTTTACATTCTTAGTGTTGCTCCCTAATGGTTTAGGAAATAACTAAGAATCATGTAATCTATAAGAGTGGGCTTCTGTCAGTTTTATGGAACTTTATCTTTATTTACTGTTTAATTAAACTAGTCTTAGTTACTAGCTTAAGCCTCAAGGAGGGGTATGAGAAGTTTCAGTTTCTTCTTAGTTAGAACTGTGATATGTTTTGTTTTTTCTTTAATTGAAAATAGCTTCAATTCATTCGGACAACTGGATGAGTCCCAAGTCAGCACCAACATGGTGCGGTGGCATTAGTTTTCTCTTTGGGGCTTGCATGCCTTGGGTTTGAGCTCTCATGTTTAAAGCCCAATTAAACTAATAAAAAGAATGGATGAGTTCCAGTGCTGTGATAATAAGCAAATATTGGCCAGCCCCCTTCTGTATAAATTTTGCCAAGCATACTATACATTTTAGCATTATTCTTTTCTATCTTACATTAATAAATAATAAAAAGATCTAATGCCTATTTGACTTTCTGATTTGTGAGTTCTTTTTTAAATTGTTTCCATACCATTCTGACATCAGGATAATTTACTGGTTGATGCATCAGTGGGCGTTGGCTTTCTTCTTCAAGTCCACTCTCCTATTTGTATGAGGTGGACAGCTTCAGTTCTAGCAGGGTATGCAACTTTACTTTTTCACAGGATTTTTTTCTTAGTTCTGGAGGATCTTCTGTTTCTAGCCATCAAATATTGGGGGGAATTTATTTAAAAAAATATTAGGAGAAATTGGTAGCGGAGCCTTGAAGTGCATCACATGTTTAGTGCGAAAATAACCTATATTTGTGGACCAAACTTTTTATGGCAGGGATACCTTGCAACGCCTTTATTATGTTTGCTAAAATATATTCCAGATTTCTCTATTTAACAATTTAAATGTCTGCAGTTTTACCACATTAGCCCACTATGAATATGCACTGATCTCGTGGTATATCTCTGAGATATTTTTCTTATGTGTCCTTATAGAAGCTTCAGTTCATTATTTAGCACTGTTCTTGCCCATCTTCGTGATTGTCTATGATATCCATACTACAGAAGCATGCCATATTCAAAGATGCAATTTTGATAATTTTGGAAAAAATTGTAAAAACAACAAATTCTTTTGGTTTTGTTTCTTGGTGTCTCCTTGAGACTAACACCTCAGTTGCTGGGTAGTTCTACAATAATTGAAAACAGTTGCATGAAAATAATTTATATTACCGAGCTCCATTTCTGGTTTGCCATATACCACAACAAGTTGGATTCTTACAGGATGTACGAAGTGGCAATCTCATATCCAGCCGGAGAACAAGTTTCAGTTCGAATGCAAGTGATAGTGATCGCCCACGTCGTCGGGGAGTTGAACCAGCATATTCCTTTGTTGGAATGCATTGCATTTTTGACCAATGCAAATCAGCTGGTATTTCATTACTTTCTAACTTTTTCACCTATATCATTATCAACTAGAGTGGTAAAGTTTAATCTATCAGAATGAGGAAACTGAACGGACTTGGATGCAGTTACTGTTTTGAAGTTTGGGCACATGAGTTCTGATCTACTTGCATATGGGGCATCAGATGGATCCTTGACGGTTTGCACTGTCTCGGAGCCACCTTCTATCATCAAGAGCTTAATGGGGCATTCAAAAGATGTCACAGGTTCGATTAACTGGTACTATTTCTGTAGTCTTTTGTTGCATCTTAAACTTTTTTGCAGGATATTTGTCAATCTGTTATTTTGTAGAGTCAAGAGGTCAAGGATATCTTATTTGAATTCTAATATAACTTTACAACAATGAGGAAATATATGGCTATTTACATGTCTGTAATATTTGTTGAAAGTAATAAATATTGGCAGTGAAACTGAGAACATCAATTTAACTGCAGAGACTCTTGACATAGAGCAGAGGAGGCAGTTGCTTATGCCCTTTCCTAAAATTTTCGCCTTAAACTTCGATATGCATGTGATGTGAATATCCTCAGAAATTGTTTTGCCTCTTTCACTTGGTAGAAAGCAAATCTTCCCACTTGGAAGACTTAATTAGTCCTTTTCCTGTCATCTGCCAAAAACCTTGGAGAAGAGTCAGGAAATCCAAATGCCTGCAGTGGCTTCAAAGATCATCACATTGAATATATATTTTAGGAACTGATACTCACAGAGCTTTAATCATTGACGCAGAAGAATAGACAAAAGAAGACCATTGAAAGTATGCAAAAATTCGGAAGGAAATAGTTGTGGATTTGCCTACTCTCTGTCCCATGATATAGATACGAGGAATTTCTTTCCTGTGAGACTATTTCTGTTGAAATATTTCACCTGAAGTATCTCCACAAATATTATCCAAATAAGGAATAAATGTGAATTAGAAGCTGTGTTCTTAAATGCATTGTTCATATGTGTAGTGTTTTAATGAATCATCAGATAGTTCTTCATTGTTATGTGCTAAATTATCACTAAGTTCTCGCTTTTCTTCAACCTTGGAATCTCTTGAAAACTGTGCAAAGTGAGAAGTTACACAAATGCCTTGGTTACTTAGCCTTTTGCCAAAAATATGGAAAAATTGAGCAACAGCACTTTTGCTCCTTATAGGTAGAAATACATGTTGTTTGTAAAAGAAACTTTATCTGATGTCAGTGCATGATTGATATATTTTTTTTGAAATAAATATCTCCATGGTTGACTTCCTAAGAAGTCTTTGTATTGCACCCATTTGTGCTCGAGTTTGTGCGCGCACAGGGGGTAGATCCCCATGGTTGGGCATGCTGAGCTGCTGCAGTGCATAATTGATATATATGTACTCTCTGGATTCTAATTTGTGGAACTTTCCCTAGTTTTGTATATAATGTTGGTATCCACATGCTACTGAGTTGCTATGGTAATTTCAGATTTTGACTTCTCATCAAACAATCAGTACATTGCGTCATCATCCCTGGATAAAACTGTGCGAGTATGGGAGTTATCAAGAGGCCTTTGCATTCGTGTAATATATGGAGTCTCTTCACAGTTATGTATTCGATTTCACCCAGTAAGTGTGCTCTTATTGCCAAACAATTGAAATGCTTGGTTATGTTGTTTTAGTCTATGTTTCTCATTACTAATCCTTTAAGAATATGCCAAATGGAAAACTTGTTAAACTTGGTTAGACATCATCTAGTTCCTTTGAAAACTATAATTTATAGTTTCCATTCTTCTATTTGTTGTTGGCTAGATGAATGAGTGCATATTCTATTTCTCTTTTGCTGTTTGCGTCTAACAAATTTAAACTTCTTCCTTGTTATTTTTCAGGTAAACAACAACTTCCTTTCAGTTGGCAATGCAAACAAGGAAATCACTGTAATACTGCATACTTTTGCTGGCTTAATCTCAACTAAAAAAATCTATCATACTTTCTACCTTTTCTTTATTTCATTTTGCTTCAGGATGAATTCCAATCTTTTACATAAGCCGGAACTTTGTTTTTATTCATTTTATAGCAAGATTATACATCACAAAACTTGGTGACAGACTCCAATTTAATTCTCTATTCATCCTCGGACATTTGCTTGTCTCTTCTACCAATTGAGCATTTTCAATCATTTATAAGGAACTCTGTGTTTAAATTTTGTGTATTTCATTACCCTTCAGATTAGAGCAATCTGAAGATTATTAAGGTTACAATCATTATTTGTTGCCCACTCTAGATTTCAGTTAAACTAGTGTATATTCATTCCTGATGTAGGACCATCTAGCATAATATTTACTTATACTAGACTATTACCATAACTTTGTAAAATTATTATATTTAAGCAAGTCTTTTTATTTTTGTTGAGATTTTAGTTCTTGTTTAGTTGGCAATTTTATTTTATAATTGTTTTCCTATCCAAGGATTCAAGTTATAATAGCTCTATGTAGACACTCATTAAATGCATGAGTGGTTCATTGTTATTAGGTAGATTGCTTATGAAAAAATTATTGATATCCTCTTATTGAATGAGTGTCTAAAGACCCTGTGATTGTGGACAACAAATTTTTTTTACCTCTCAAGCTCCTATCCTTATGCTACATCAATTCCTTGTCATTGATCACACATTTGATTGATAGTGCCATTTGATGTTCCAGGTCTTCAATTTCAGCACTGGTAGGATTATTAATAAGTTGGTCATTGACGATGAGGTTACTTCTATGGACCATGACCATACTGGTCAGCTACTTTTCTGTGGAGATGCACAGGTATGCCTTCTATGATTTTTGTTGTGCAGTATTTGGCAGGGAAAAATTGATTATTATATAATCACTATGTTAATTAAAATTGTTTCTTTCTGGATTTGCATGGGGCTTACATATATATGTTTACTTGTAGCTTCTAGATTCTGATGAATTAGCCTAATTTGAATGTTGGTTTCCATATCAAGGATGCACTTACATGTTCCTTTTCTTTTTTTCTCACTTGGGTTACATGAGCAGGGATGTATATACTCGGTGAGTATGGATTCCCATAATGGCACCTTATCCCGTTCTCATCGCCATCGAAGTAGCAGCAAGCGCAAATCTGCTGTAACAACTATGCAGTATAGGAGTTTCTCTCTGCTAGCTGGGGGACCTGTGTTACTTGCGTGTACCCAAGATGGCAATATATCTTTCTTCAGGTTTGGTCAATAGAACGCACCTTTTAATAGGTTTTATTTTGAAGCACTTGGTGAGGGTCGGTATGTTTGTGGTACAGCATTGCTGTTGAAGTACAAGGCTACTTGACTCTTCGTTGTGCTCTCAAATTACCCCCCCGGATACACAATTTCCGAGCATCCTTTTGCCCTTTGCTTTCTCTTGAGAAAGGAGAATATATAGGTAATGAATTTCGATCTCAGTGTTATCATGCTCATCCAGCATTTGTTACTATTCTTTCGGCTGTATTTTTTCAGTAAATGTGTTATCACCACCTGCACTTAAAAGAATAAAGCAGAGAATATTTATATATATATATATACAGTTACAGTCACACGGCTTATTTCAATGTCATTTCTCTTTTGCTAACATTTTAATGTTATCTTCATGTGAAGTTGCCGGAAGTGAGGATTCAAATGTCTACTTCTATGATTTAACTCGACCAAGGCATACATGTGTGAATAAACTACAGGTCTCAACTATTACCTTAGTTTCTGCTGTTTAAAATTATGTACAAGGTTATGTTTGGAATATCAACATTTCTTTGTGAAATATATTTGCAAATTTATACTTAAATTATGAGAGGATGAAAATTAAAAGAAAAAAATAATGAAAATTTTCCCCGTAAACAAATTCCAAATGAAATGGAGATAGCATGTGTAAATTTTAATTACTTTGGAATCTAAAATACATTCTCTCAATTTCATTTGGAGTTGTTTAGGAGTTCCTTTTTGTCATTTCTGAGAGAGTTTCTCCTTCTCATAGTTAAAAGTATAAATTTTATAAGCAAAATTCATTATTCCAGTGTAATAAAAACTGTGTTAACTTGGAGGATGACCAAATTGCGTGTGGCTTCAGGGTCATCGATTTCCGGTTGTAGGAGTTGCTTGGAACCATGGAGAGAACTTGTTGGCTTCGTCAGATTTTTACGGCATCGTTATTGTATGGAAGAGAGCAAAAGCAAGTTAAAAACAAATACATATGGTAAATAGCTTGTTAGTTTTTTACCTCATTGTCATGTTCTAGTGTTTCATTACCCTTGTCGGTAGCGTAAAAATTGCTTAGTAAATTGTTGAGATTCCTTACTGTATACAGAAACCTGGTGAACCACTTTATACTTACTGGGGTGGGCATATATACCTTTGTACTCATTTAACTCACAATTTAATAGGTCCAATAGAATTGTGATTAATAAAAAAAGAAAACTCTCTTTGTTGCTGCCCTGTGCAGTTTCCAATTTATATAGACAATAGCGGAATGGATATCATTGTGATTCGGCTCTATTGATTTGAGTTCTAAAAAATAGTTTTTTGTCTTCTATCGAAGTCTAAACCTACAGAAAATAGCAATACGAATATATTAATTTAAAATTTAAAATACAGTTTTGACGTCTGTATGAAAGAGAACCTACCAGCAGTTAGAAGTAAAGTTGAAGATCTCACCAATGTGGTGGCATATTAGTTAAATAAGATCTTTTGTGTGCGTTTTGAAAGTTACTGAGTTCAAATTTTATTGAATATTTTAAACTCAGTTATAAGTTAGCGGTGATAAGTCTATTATACTTGACTAAACAGGATTTATGATTTATTTTATTAGTGTATTGATAAAATTGTAGTGATTAAATTAAATTTTATCACAACTGAGTAATAATTTTTTTTTAGTAGAAAGATATTCCATGATTGCTGTGAAATCGAAATGCATCAAAGATGGTAATTTATTTTATTAGTGTATTGATAAAATTGTAGTGATTAAATTAAATTTTATCACAACTGAGTAATAATTTTTTTTTAGTAGAAAGATATTCCATGATTGCTGTGAAATCGAAATGCATCAAAGATGGTAAAATTCCATTCATTGCTTTTTATTTTTTTTTTTTTCTTTCTTTAACTTCAAAGATGGTATGGAACCCTAGTTCATAATAATTTAAATGTGCGATTTGCATCTTTGTGCAGATAATTAACATTGTTTTCCAGAACTCAGCGAAGATCGTTATGGAAAACTTTTTCTAAATTTTTATATTGTATGCATGTTTATATATGTTTTTACATAAAAACCCTCGTGGTTGTTAAACAAAACCTTAGAGAAAAGGTAAGGTAAAGTCATATTTTAACTCACAATAATTTTCTCTCTGAGAATTAATTCAAACTAAATTTCCACCGATGACAAAATTTAATTACACAATAACTAGAACAAGTATTTACATTGCCAGAAGAGCCATTAATTTGAATATTTTTGAAATTATAAAAATTAATTTGACACATAATTAAAATAGATACTAAATTAAACAAAAATAAACAGTAAATAGTTTCTTTAAAAAAATGTACTTCTTAAGAGTTTATATTTGAAGCAATATATCCACCCAGAGTGATTTCTTCTTGGCATCGTGAATAGCAAGAAACCATCAACTATATTTCCTCCTTTGGGAAATTAATTTTTACACTCATTAGCACAAACGGTAAAAACGAGTTATGTTACATGCACAAGAACTTATTAGATAAAAACAATTGCAAACTTTAAGTAGTAGTATGTATAATTGACGGAATAGGTTGGGTAAGTTAAATCATTTTTTCTACCCACATCAACTGCGAATATCAGTTTATACCAAAATTTTGTAAAAAAATTTCAAAAGTTTAGTGTTAATCTGGTACCAAAATTCACAACCGCACCAACCATTTAGAAGCATGATCAGGCAGCTGTGTCTATTGCTCTTTAGCTTAGTAAGTTAAAAGCAGAGTTAAGTTTATACACATGCTCTATTCTTACAAGCAAGAAATCACAGAGACAAAGGAAAAATCTACATCAAGGTAATATACTTACATATAAAAGCTAAACAAATCCTCTGACCTCGGTAGTAAAACAGGATAAAAACTGATCCTCAAACCATATAAACATTACGGTAATTTCCCCAAAACAGTTTTTGCCTGTCCTAAATAATTCACAGATATTACAAGCTCGAGATGATGCTTTTTTGTTGCCTCCATTGACATTTTGACGCCTACCCACGTTTTAACCACAAAGATCTGCTGATTTATTATAGAACCTACCTTATGTATGGGCTTAGACACCTGGTCACCTCCGCCGACGCTTTGTGTCCACCTGAAAAATTAATTATCATTGTATAGTAATATTGAAAATTAACCACCATTGCTCTGTATCCATCTATCCCCCATGCATGGAACATCAACAAATCTTCCCACTTCGAGATTTTGTAAAGCATAAAAAGATGCTTTTAAATAGAGATATTATCCTAGAATTAACTGAACTACTCTTTGAAAGATAAGAATCAAGTCCATTAGAGTGCAGGAAACTAGAAGTTGAATTATGATGGGCAAAAGTTGAATCTAATTTCATTAATGTGTAAAAAATATGGAACTGAGTTTATTGTTATTCATGAAAATGGAAGATTTGGGCAATGGTCAGACCTATCTTACTCTTGGAAGATTCTCTGTACCAGAAATGGGCATCAATCAGATAAAACATTTAATATAAAAAAATCCATGTGAAATTAAATCATCTGAGAGAGTAGATGGATTAAAACAGAAATGAAATAAAATTCAAGATGATCTGTTGACATCTCAAATTCAAGAAGACTGTCAAGACAGAGAATTCAGTGCTTCATAAAATGAGAATACCTTTGCATCTGTGTGTCTGGTAGCAGTATGAGAATTCTGCAACTTCTTCTGACCTTCAGATGAACAAGTTTCACAGAAGAAGTGATCAAGTCTTTTAGCTTCCTCTGCAGTCATTTCTATACAAGCAGGATGAAACCTGAACCAAAAGTAGTATGCTGAATATTGCATCGGTTTTCACAACATACTCCACAAATTGGATGTGTTTGATTCATAGAATCTGTTTGATAAAAGAAAAAACTGTGAAAATAGACATTAACTTAAATTGCACTTAAAAATACATGAGAGTCTGAAGCCTTAACCCTTCTTGTAATTTTTTAAATTAAGGTCAGGAAAAAGTTTCAGACCTCAATCTCAGAAGCTCCCTCAAGAGAAACCCAGAGAACATTCTAATTCTATTGGTTTAACGTACTTGTCTCTCCTACATAAAAACCAAAAAGTGATCTTCTGAAAACAAGCATAACAACTGCCAGACAAACATTTGTCTACTCGTCAACTAATTTGAGGTTTGTACAAAATCATTACCGTCTTTGCTAGAAGGTGAATTTCCAATGCTTAATCAAATAGTTTATTCCTAAAATGCCTAGAAACCCTGATGATGTTTGGTTCTATTCAATTACTACATCTTCGGCTTACATTTTTCTCCCTAAATTTGAGAAATGTGAAACAGCTAGTCTGAAGTGTTTCCAAATAATGCTAATAATTGCAATAATTTTATAATCTACCTTCTAATTAAGGTCTCGAATACTCGAGTTCCTTTTTTTGATGCAAGAGATGATGCATCCGAAATCTAACGAGGGGAAAAAATGACACGATCACCACGTTTCTCAACAAAGAATCTATTAATTGTTAACTGAGGATCTCATTTTCCCAAAAATATTGTTAGGAAACTCGAGGATGCATACACATCCTTAAGTATTAATATTCCTTAGCTCATTATGTAAACGATCATGGCCAAGGCATCTTCCCTAACACAGTCTCTCTCCCCTGCATTACATTTACATGATCACCTATAAAAGATAATTATCACTCTCTATGTGAATACATACTACACATACACATGAATAAATGTATGGTAATTCAGGATATTTCCTTCTCTTTCCTTAAAAAGCTATTTCAGGGTAAACAAAGACAACACAAAGGAATGAAGGATCAAATTCAGTCAACTTCCACAATAAAACTGATGGTTAATCTACGTAGTCCAACAAGCAGCCTCAATGAAATTATTCCTGAAGAGATGATCAGAAGTAGCACGCATAAAACTAATTGAACTAAGAGAAGCATCAACTCCCATTTTTCTTCCAACAGAGAAAAAGAAGCAGTAGGCAGAAGTAAAATAAATTAATTGGTTCATACATAACAGGCTAACGAGCTCATAAATCAGCCACCTGAACAAGGAAGGAAATGCTAAACATTAGCATCTAACTGTTTCTGAAAATCATTGTTACTCTCCACTAATACAGTATAACTGCCTAACTGATATGTATGAGAAACCCAGGCATTACCATCTGCAGATTTTTTTTTTTCTTTCATCAAACAAGCTGATTAAGCATGCAGATAACTGTTCCAGAGATACTCAGAAGCTATGTGTTTCTCTGCAGCTGGTCTTTCAGTAACTCATCTAATACATGACAAAATTGAAGAACCAAGAAACAATGGACAATGAGGAACTACTGGGCTGAGGTGAGTTAACGAATCAGTATCTTGAAAAGTTCCCATATGTCTTTAGATTCTATTTGAATGCAAAGTGAGCTACCACAACTTTGAAAAGTTTACTCCTTTGAATGCCTGTGCCCTTTGCATAATCCTGCCAACCCCTTTGCTTTTTTCCCTTCACACAGGAAAGCAGCATATGATTGGAAGATTTACAAGACGAAACCAGTTTTGCTCATCTATTGGAGAAAAAAAGAGGTTGAGAACCTGGATAAGATAATCTCAGCCGATTAGATAAATACAGATAAATACAAAAGCCAATTAACCCCATGATCACTTTGCATGGTGAATCTTGTCATTTTGTCATTAACTCCACTTGGTTAGTTGTTTTTGAAACTATAAACATTCGTAGGCTCAGCATCAATATGTAGCTAACAGGATCCCTATCAAAGCTCTTCTAGTGCATTTAAAACAACATCAACCATATCAGAGATAAAAATGCATCTCAGTTTCAGCTAAATTAGATAAATTCAAACTATATCCAACTTACCAGTCACTGCAAGTTTCGCACTGAACCATTAGATCATCTGGGTTATAAGGCATCTCACATTTGCAATACCTGTCAAATTTGGAGGAAGGGAAAACCAAAAAAAAGGTAAGGGTACTTCAACCAAAATAAGCCTAACCACAACCATTAGGACTCCCAAGTTAACATTCCTTAAAACCAACACAAACCATACTAGTCTAAGCTCAAATGTTAAGAATACATTAAAAGAATCAAGCAAAACTGAATAATAACAATTGAAAAGGCTAACTTCAGTATATGAAATACAGTACAGGAGTAAACTGTAAGTTCCAGAATACACTTAAATTTATCCCAATTAACTCGCTAAACTAGCAAATGCACGAGAATCTTTTAAAAAATAACAGAAGAAAAAACCAGAAAACTTTTAAGATGAAAAAAATGAGACAACGTACACGGCGACTCGATCAGGATTGAAAGCGCCGGTAGACGAATTGTACTCAAAACGACAGAAGAAGTCGTCGTTTCCAACGGCGTCAAGCTTGGTATAGCTCTTGAAGCTGTGGACCGTACACTTCCCCTCGATTGTATCAGCGCTCTGCACGTCGTAGTGGTCGGAAAGGAAAACCTCCTTGGATCCATGAAACTGTCGCCTACCACCGATCGACTCCTCCGGCCGGTAGTACCAGCGCACGCGCACTCTCACGTTCGCTCCACGCGCGTCCGTCTCGATCCGCTCAATCCTGGCAACGTACGACGGCTTCCCCGGCTCCGACGGCCGCATCAGCACACAGTCTCCCACTGTACAGACAAACATAGATATGCGTGTGTTCGTATCCGTTCCTTTTTCTCTTTTTCTTTTTCCTATTTCTTTTTAATTTCCCCTGGAAAGAGAAAATTAAGAGAGAGAACAATTTTCCCAGGAAAGTGAGGGAAAAAGCGCTTACCTTTGATGGTTTTGTTGATGTGTTTGACTGTGAAGGAGTCCAGAGTTTTCCTTGGAGCCTTTGCTTTGGCCATGGAAGAGGAGGAAGAAGAAGAAGTGATGCAGAGAAAACACGCATGCACGAGGACAACAGAGAGAGATTGCGAGAGACAAACACCAAGAACAAAAAAAAAAAAAATGAAAATAAAAATAAAAATCTTCCGAGAAATATATTCCTTAATATTTAAAAAAAAAAAAAAAAAAATCATCTGTATACACTGCTTCAAGGTATAGGGTTACAATCCGATGCATCGCGGCAGAGGTAAGCGCGTCGTTGACCGGGTTCAGTCGGCGTAGGCGATGAATCATGATGGTGATTAGCGTCTAATGGGTTAGGATCCACGTCAGCACGGTTAGATTTGGTGCGAGTTTTAAGGCCGGGAGCGTGTTGTTTACTTTATGAAGAAAGCGGTTAGTGAATGGAGTTCGGATTCCGTATTGGAAATGATACACTAGATTCAACCTCATACTAATTTATGTTATAACGAACATGAACCGTTGGATCTAAGCTTTAAGACTTTTATGTGCTAAATAATTTCATCCAACGGTTAAATTCTCGCGCTCACAAGATTTGTCGAATACGAGCGTATTATATGTACTCGAGATTCCTCATGGTAAAGAATTTCCTTTTTTTTTTTTTTGTGGAAATTCAGGAGCTGCCTCTGATTTTGCCACGTATACCTTTTAGATTAGGAATTATGATTCCCTTGTTCTGTCAGTAGAGAATGCCAAACAAAAAATATAGATATATATAATTCCTGCTATGGACCACGTTGCATCCGTAGCCAAACAGCTCGAATCTTCTCCCTTCAAACCAATCGAGATTGATACTTTAATATTTTAAAAAATGAATATATATATTTCCATAATTTCACGTTAAAACTTCTGTAAGCCTGTAGAAACTTCAGGGGCTCCAATGGCGTAACACGGGGGCCCATAGGATTTTAACACCAGAAGCCATGAACTCCTCAGTAATTTACATACCCAACTCGACCAACTCGATCCCAACTCACCCATCTTCACTCTTCCCACAAGTCTCCAAATGCAAATCCATCAGACACCTAACCCAACTCCATGCTTCCTTCATCAAGACTGGCCAAATTCATGATCCTCTCGCCGCCGCGGAGATTCTCCGCTTTTCTTCCTTGTCCGATTACCGCGAGATCGACTACGCCTATAAGGTTTTCCGTCGAATGCACCGACCCAATTGCTTTTCCTGGAACACCATTATCAGGGCTTTTGCGGAGAATGGAGAAGACGAGAAAGCGATTATGGGTATTTTACTGTTCTGCGAGATGCTCGATCATGGGTTCGTGAGGCCAAACATGTTCACATTTCCTTCTGTGTTGAAGGCGTGTGCTGAAACGGGGAGGGTGGAGGAAGGGAAGCAAGTTCATGGGATGGTGGTGAAGTTTGGATTGGATGGCGATGAGTTTGTGATTAGTAATCTCATGAGAATGTACGCGGTTTGCGGGGTTATGGAGGATACTAATTCATTATTCTGTAAGAACATTGTTGAAGATGTTAGCAGAGTGATTGATGGGAAGAAGGAAGAAAGTAATATTGTTCTTTGGAATGTAATGGTTGATGGGTATGTAAGACAAGGAAGCTTTAATCAAGCAAGGAAGTTGTTTGATGAAATGCCTCAGAGAAGTGTTGTGTCATGGAATGTGATGATTTCTGGGTATGCACAGAATGGGAATTTCAAGGAAGCAATAGACATGTTTTATGAAATGCAGATGGGAGAATTACCTCCAAATTATGTAACTTTGGTGAGTGTTCTTCCAGCAATTTCGAGACTAGGAGCACTTGAAGTAGGCAAGTGGGTGCATTTGTATGCTGAGAAAAATGGCATTGAGATTGATGATGTGCTTGGTTCTGCATTGATTGACATGTATTCTAAATGCGGAAGCATTGAGAAGGCAATTCAAGTTTTTGGGAGGATACCCAGAAAGAATGTGATTACTTGGAGTGCAATGATTGGTGGACTTGCTTTGCACGGTCGAGCAATCGAAGCTCTTGATTGTTTTCAAAGGATGAATCAAGCTGGAATCAAGCCAAGTGATGTTGTATACATTGGTGTTTTAAGTGCTTGTAGCCATGCTGGATTAGTTCAGGAAGGCCGAGAACTTTTTAACCATATGATAAATGTGGTTGGTTTAGAGCCTAGGATTGAACATTACGGATGCATGGTTGATCTATTAGGCAGAGCAGGGTTTCTAAAAGAGGCTGAAGAATTTATCATGAACATGCCTGTAAAACCAGATGATGTGATATGGAAAGCCTTGCTTGGTGCTTGTAAAATGCATCAGAATGTTGAAATGGGTAAACGCGTAGCAAAAAAATTGATGGGTATGACTCCTCATGATAGTGGATCATATGTGGGATTATCAAATTTGTATGCCTCACTTGGAAACTGGGAGGCAGTTGCAGGGGTGAGGTTAAAAATGAGAGAGATGGATATAAGGAAAGATCCCGGATGTAGTTGGATTGAGCTCGATGGTGCGATTCACGAGTTTGTTGTGGAAGATGAATTCCATCCGCAAGCCAAAGAAATTCACTCCATGTTGGAGGAAATTTCCGAGAAATTGAGGTTGTTAGATTATAGACCGAACACCACTCAGGTATTGCTCAACATGGATGAGGAAGACAAAGAGAGTGCCTTGCATTACCATAGTGAGAAAATTGCAGTTGCATTTGGATTAATCAGTACAAGCCCTGGTACACCTCTTCGGATAGTCAAGAACCTGCGTGTTTGTGAAGATTGTCACGCATCAATGAAGCTAATCTCGAAGATTTACAAAAGAAGAATCGTTGTACGGGATCGAAAACGCTTCCATCATTTCAAAAATGGATTATGTTCTTGCAACGATTATTGGTAATTAGAAGTCTTGCAAGTATTGCTGTAAAATCTTTGGGCATTTTATGGGCGCCAAATTATTTTAGATGGGTTAAATATTGAATTCTATTTTGAAGATATTGACACAAATTTTGGATTTATTCTCGGTTTAACCTGTTATTTATTTTACAGTTTAAATCCTTTTTAAATTATAACAATTTTTATTTTTATTTTTTTTTAAAAAGATAAAAACAAAAATAGAACTAAGCAGGGGAAAGGGAGGGTGTAATCACGTGATCGTCGTGAATTGAGTGAGCGTATCCAATTTGGGGCAAAAACATTGACTTTTAAAGCTTACTTTTACAGGTTTGATTTGACTCCACCGTGATGAAAAATAGTAACCGTTGGATTGGGAAACGGCACGTTTGATGGGGGAAGATAAATTAATTAATTAGAATAATGATTACTAAATACTTACATAGTATTTTCCTTAAATAAAGTAATTAACATGATATTAAAAAGCTTATTAATCTCCCAACAACTTATTGTAAAAGCATTTCATGACGAATTTGTTTTAGGGTTCATAAATTCTCTAAATTAATTAACACTAAATAATCAGTAAAAAAATTATTTTAACTACTTGCTTTTGAAGTCATTAAATTAAATAATCATATATGACTCTGCATATATATATATATTTGGTTGAGAGTAGAGAATCCTATTGTATAAATAGATTAAAAAATATAGTTAATTTTCAGTGCTCACCAATCTCTTTACAAAATTGATTTGTGATGCATCTCCACCAATTTCCTCAAAAACTACTAATAAATTCTGGGTTTGCTTCAACCAAGATCTGGGAACATGGTACCTGAAAGTTTGATCAAAAAGAATTATTGGTATTGTATTTTAACACTTTTCTTCGCGCGTAAGCAAAACTGTGTATCAACTAAGGTAAAGGACAAATAATAACAATATTTAACAGATTCGTATAAAGACGAGGCTCCAATCAAGATCTCAAGTTCTGATACCATGTTAAACGGTAAATTATGATAAGCACCAGACATTTTGCCGTTCTAAATAACATAAATTACTAGGTTCTTTAAGTAATCCGGAAACCCATTTCTTTAAACAATCCCCCGAACATTCTCTAGATTCGTTAAAAATATAGTATGATGCATATTTGATGAATCTAATGGCCAAAAGAAAGAAGGGTTGAAAGGAGATTTACCATTTTTGAGTAGGATGGCCACAACCGAATTGGCAGGATACTGGTCGGAATGTGGTTGAATAAATGCAATCACTGCAATTACCAGTGGCAGAAAGAGTCCAGTATCTCCCAATGCTTTGCCCATTAATCCACACTTGACCTTTACCCATACTGCTCATGTCTAAAGCTAGTGGCTCATCTCCTTCTGGCGCATCAAAATGGACCTGCAAGTTCAACTTCACTTATCAGTTTTTTACTGAATACATTTTACTAGTAGGAATTAAGTGCCACTAAACATCCCACTAATTCTAGTTATACACCTGAACCTTTTCTTTTTCCTTTTCTACTTCCTACTAAATAATAAAGTTAACCAATTTTCAGAAATTAGCCTCTATTTGGAACAAATCTAAAATTTGTCGGAAAATCATTTGCAAGTCTACACTTTTTCAACTAGAAGATGATACATTTCTTACATAAAATGATAAAATTTGAGTTCATATGGAACTGAAATAATAAATTCTAAGATCTATATGAACAGAATTTGGAATTCACCATTCCAATTCTACAAGATCATTTTTTTCTGTCATCCTAATATGATTTACAGCTCTGTAAGTTAAACTGAATGTGGATTTACAAATGAAATGCATAAAATTTATGGATTTATTCTAAAAATAGCCATAAACTGACAAGAAATTATGCAATATATTATTTATATATTAACACGTCTCTTTAAGTGCAACTCTATCCTAAATGTGTGAACCAAGTATAAGACTACATATCTTGAATCTGAAATTAATTAATAAAAATGGGGCAATAGAAATATTAAATCTTTGTCTCTGATAGAGTTAAAATAATGTCTTCAGAAGCTCACACTGATGCGAAAATATGCAATCTATAATTTATACATTAAGTAAGTGTTCAATTTAATTTATAGCTAATGTTTGCAGGACAAGTATTCTTATGAGGAGAGTAAGGGAGGTAGGACACTTTAAGAAGTTATATATTCATTGTCGCTGCCGTACCTTATACCATGTTAACGGCTGTGCAGTATTTGTTGTAAAGGATGCTTCTGTCCAGTCAATCAATGAAATGAAATCTGGGGAACCTAGATTCAAGGCCTCACCTTTGACTCCAATCTGTATAAATTGAAAAGTGAAACTTAAAATCAAGGAATAGATCTGTAAACGATAGCATAATTACAGAGCAAAAAACAAAAATTTGGAAGCCAGATATTGAAGACCTTGTATGACCAATTCTGCCAGGACAAGTCTGTTGGTCCCGCATTTACTCCATGTAGGACAACCGGTCCTAGGACTCCCGTGTTCCATGTCTCAAAGTGTGGACCAATATTCTTCAACCCGAAAATAATCCAGAAAACCAAAACAAAAATCAACTGACAATGAAGAATAACAGGTAGTATTGTTGATATTTTATGTAACTTATAGACAAGGATAAACCTAAAACTGCATCTCAAGTCCTTGATCAAATATCCATTGTCAATTTCCGAAATATGTTTGGCTTCCAATTCTCTAGTTCTATCCTAACATCTTTATTCCAGATTATTGAAATGATTACAAGCAGAATTCAGGTTACAAACCGGTAATCCAACAGCAACACTGAGCAATGAAATCATGTTTCTTCCGGCATCCAAATTAATGTCTCCAGTAAATGTAAATCTCCTATTTACTCTACTCCCAAACGCTGAGCCTGTCATATGCATTTAACAGGATCTTAACAACTATAGAGAGTATAGTCAATCATAAACGATCAGGATTAGAATGAAACAGCGCACCAGAAAACTTTCCATTGACGAACACATGCACAGCATGACCTGCAGATTCCACAGTGAGCGTAGGCCATCTCTCGTTACCCAGATATGACTCTGATGAACTTAAGTCAACACTGGAAACATGATAGAACAAAAAAAAACTTGATTTGATGAATTGTTAATGTTTAGAGCAGAAACTCAGTAACATTTATGTTAGTACCTTGTCGAGTACCAGAGATAGTCACTGGTATCTCTTGTAATATTTATCTGTTCCAATAATCCAACAACCTTAATTTCACAATCATCATCAACTGATAATATCTCTTCATTGAATGTTTCCCATGATCCCAACTTAACATTTATTGGCAGCATTTGCACTTGGGATTCTTTAACTCTAACCTGATAACAGAAAGATATGGATTGTGCCTATCAGTGTTCACAGGTAGCTTAATATAAGCAAAAACCATGAAGGAAAAAGAAGAAAAATTCGGTTTAACAGACAGATATATGTGGTTTGATTTGTTACTGTGAATTCTTTTATGGGAAAGAGAGAATTCAGGTGCACTGTATAAAGAAAGAGCAAAAAGTTCGCACTTCTGTTCAAATCCTAATTCTAGTCCATCAAATCTACCATAATGCTTAATTTGTTTTATAATAGAAAAAAGAAAAAGAAGATACATCATAACAAGGGGAAAGACTTTTTTCCTATTTAGAAGAATGACAACAGCATCCGCGAACTTATTCTAAATATTTGTGCAATACATGCACTAAATTTACTTGTTAACTAACATGCATTCCTCACTCTTTTCTATGACGGAGATGGTTCTAGCCAAGTGAATTGCAATAAAGAGGGATTGAGCAGAGTGCAAAGCTAGAAACCTTGTTAAACCAGCATAGGCACTGTCTATTAAATTTTTGTTCAGTCCAAATCAATTTGATATGCATCACATATATCATATGTTTTCAAGGATTCAAACTTTCTTAAGCAGAAAAAGATAACCAGTAACAAGAAGTCAGATTCTCGAAGCAGAACCTTAAACTACAATATTTACTGACTAAACAGTTTTCATGCACCATACAAATTGTTTATATGAAGTGGGAGCAACTGTCTGCTTCACTTACGTCAGCTGTGTTGAAGACAACATTTTTGCAGTCCGGAAGGATGCTGATGGACCAAGGTGGTAGGCTATAGTGCATACCGTTAAAAGCCACCACTACATCTGATTTTTTGT